CTTGAAGTAGACCTATAATATGCAAAAAACTTATCATGAAAAATCCCTGAGAGAACGTTCTAATCGATAGGTAAATAATAACAATAATAATCTGAAAAAGAAGATTAGAGATATAAGACAACTAGAGAAATTGAAAGCGAAGTATATGAAGCAGAGTAAGTTCATTGCCTGGTTGAAGTTAGCGATACATTCAGAGAGAGATAAAGATATGAAGAGAAATCCTTCCAATCTACTACAGAATCAAGAATCGACCAGAATAATTATCTACTTCCCCTAAATGTTGACTTCCCACAAAAAGAACTACAACACGTGCTCGATCATACACACCCACAACAACAATAAGACACCGTTGGCAAGTCGCAAAAACAATCAATACGGTTGGAGTAAATTTCATGAGTAATTTGAACTCTACTAGTACTCCTGGAGAAAATTTCCATGATTTTGCACTAAGTACGACACACAGCATGCATCGTTCTGAAGATGCGTCGTGCATGAACTTCGTGACCCTTTTTTTCTTTATATATTTTAGTTTCCATATGGTAAAGCATTAGGTTGGCACTAATAGTGCTGACGGCTGAGATCTATATATGCACCTACATGGATAGAGGAATAAAGTGTGTATAGAGATTGAAATCATACCTCATACACTATCCAAGCAACAGAAGCAATAACAGTGGCTACCAATGCATTTGAGAACTTCCTATATATTTCCAACTTAACAGAGCTCCTCTTCATCTGAAAAAAAAAAAAAAAACAAGTTTATCGTACAAAACGAGTATAAAGATACAGAGGCAAAAACGAATAGAAAACAAAAAGGTTAATGAACGGATGCACGCTGTTAAACATGGCGGATTTCAGGAGTAGGAAAGCAATACCTGTAACTGCTCTAGCGTCCTTGAAAGGGAAGTAAATATCCATAATATTAAAAAGGCATCTAGGAATGCATCAGGGAGGACTAGGAACAGTCTTGCTCTTCCAGAAACATCATTTATAGTCCCAACATACTCTGTAATATCCAATAATTCAGATGCCAAGAAGTAAGTTACCCCTAGAAGAAGAACTTTTGAGGTAAGACCACCAAGAGTTGGCCGCACAACACCATAACCCATGGAAATTGACAGTATAAGAAGCCGCGTAACTGTTTTTCTTATAGCACCAACAGTCACCACCCATGTTGTGATTACAACTGGCCTAATGCCCGTATCATTGAAGTTTACATATTCAAAGTACCAAAGAACCATCTCAAATAATCCAAGAGCAATTACGACTGTGATGCAATGCTGAAGTTGCAGAATATCCCTCCAGAACCTCACATACTGAGATAACCAAACGACAGTAAGCAATAAATATGCGAGTGACATGAATACATAAAACCTCATTAAAGAGAACATCCGTCCGGGTAAATAACCATAGGGATTTTTCCACTTTGTCCTCCCACTCATCACTAATCCTTTGAGGTTTGGATCGCATGTTACAAAGAACAAGCTATACATTCCTGTTTTTGTAATGGGAACTTCCACATCATCCATAACAGTGTACAAATAATTGCCACTGAATTGTACATTTAAAACAACAGGCCAATTAATATCCGATGCAGAAGGTCTTCTAATGACTTCTCCTTGTTTACATCCTTCAAGCTTAGCTAGATCTGGAGTGCAACATATAGCTCTCTGTCCACCATATGCAGAACCACCAATATTATCACGGTCGGCAGCCTCAAAGATGATAACCTGTATCAACCCTGTGCTATGCTCCATGTCTGTATGTAGGTCAGCAGCAGCCTTGCTCCTCCAAAAGGTGATATTATAAAATCTGTCCCATTTGTAGAAGTCATGAATACACAGTCTTACTGTGGGAAAAATAGGAAGGAAGGGCAAAATATTCTTTTATAAAAATCCACATGCAGAGTATAAACATTCAGTGAGCTACATTACAGCATGGCATAAATTTTTGGAAAACCAGTTTTTGGGAAAAGTTAAATTCATTAAAGCAATTTCAAGGATGCATACAGATAGGTTATCTTCAGAAACAAAAATTGAATTACAGCCAAGTTGTTCAAAACCAGTTTATTTAATCAACTAGTAGTTCTAAATATGATTTTTAAGCAAACGGAAATTCTTCAAAGGATATAGATCATATTTAAGCACGTCTTAGTGCCCCACTTATAGGAAGTACTAAGGCATTCTAGTGGCATGATACTTCCAAAAACTTAAAGCAATAAATAAATCCAAGCACTAAACTAAGAGCCACATCATTGGAACTACAGTGCTACTCTGGTCACTTTTTCAGCAATAAAGTTATTTTTTTATAACCAAGAGTCAGAGCTTCGCTCCCATTTACTCGGGGGCACCCACAGCCTCTCCTCAAGGCCTGGACCCAGAAAACAACAAGGGTTTTTAGTATTTATCTCACCCAAAAGTTGGAAGAACTTCGGACCTTAAGGAAAATGACCCTTTACATGTACTAATCCCAAAAGATAAGAAGCCAACCTGAAAAAAATGGAAGAATCCCCGAGGTTGCGTTTCATGTGATACATCGACTCAATTCATTTAAGATTGACAAAGAAACCTTGATTTTTTTTTTCTTTTTTGGAATTTTCGTATAATTCATTAAAGAATAAAAAAGAGTTCACTTCGTTCATGATCTCTTCAAAAAAAAAAAAAGTTTATAAGAATGTTCTCTTCAAATACATGGCTGTTTCAGATGTTCATTGATTTTAAATAAATAACTACAGCCAATTAACCAAACGAAAACTAGCAATTTTACACTAATTGGAAGTCTTAATCAGTACTCATTGGAAACAAACATTAACATCAACTAAATAAAAGAAGGCAAAAAAATGAAAACCTAGTGTGATCCTCTATCGAACTAGCTTAACATTTTTTAAATGAGAGACAAGTGTTTCAAATAGAGAGTCCAATGGAGGATGAACAATACTACGTAACTTGGAGTGGCCACGGAGAATAATAATAAGTGATCAAAGAGTTCAAAGGTCATCGAAAGACGTTGAACTTCTTTGAAGACAGGAGAATCCTTCTCCTTTTCCAGCCTAGTTCAAAAGGAGAGCAGCGGGCAATACACAAAAATAAATGTGCGCATATGTGTGAACGTCAGATCTGTGTAAAGATAGAGTCCTCTCACTTAATGCATTGCTAGAGTTAGCAAACAAATAGAAAACAAGAAGACAAGTGTGCAACTGAATTTTCCGACTCACCAATGAATCAAGTTTAAAAGGCATAACAAAATGAACACAGATCTAGCCTAAGTACAGCCAAATTAAAATCAATCAAATTCCAACTACGACAATATCCTCAATAAAACCTATCCACACTAACTCGCAAAAGAAATACATCCATCAAAATTAAGACATCCAAAGAGTTAGAAAGAGTACTGGATAGAAGATTGGCCATTGCGGATAGAAGGCGTATCGGAATCGGCCGAGAGAGAAGCCTGAAGACCTTCACTGCCGCCGGAGAGAAGGAAAGCATTACCGACATCAACGAAAACCTCCTTGTCGTAGAAATGGATGGAGGCATTACTCAGATTCACTGTAAGCGACAGTAAGAGTACGAACCAAACATACAAAAAGAATAAAGGATTTGAAACAGAAAAAGATCTTTGTTTTGCGATATTCATGGCGACGGATCAAACGACAAAACGAGAACCAGAGAGAGATTAAAAGAGGGACCGGCGTTAGGGCGGAAATCAGCAGATGAGATCGGAGGTCGATTGTAAGAGAAGCATTTGTCTCGGTCGGTAGGAAAGGGAATTTTACCACGCGCGGGACGCGCTCTCCATAAAGGAGATTGAGACAACTCATCCATATTCTATTAATTCAAAATTTTAAAGAAGCTAAATTTATAGGATATTTATATGCCACAAAATCCATTGTTGTAGAACATATAATTATATCGTAGCCTTTTTAATAATGTATTTTCTAAAAAAAATTTATTATATATTTTGTTTTTAATGTCAAGTGCAATAATTAAAAATTGATTAATGTTAACTTTATAATAAATAAACTTAGTTAAATTTCGTGTAATAATAATTAATTAATTAACCGATACGTCGACTTTAATCCGATCAATTCAACTTAAAAAAATGAGTAATTATAATAATTAATTTATAGGATAAATTTTTTTTGTATTTTGTTTGACAAATATTTAAAAATACGATATAAAACTAACTAAATAATAAATTTCGTATAGACTGCGATTTTATTGAGTGGTGTCTAGGGCGGATTAATTGAGAGTGTGATTCAAACAACAGGAACCGGTGGCAGGAGTTACAGTCATGCTTGTCTAGGGCGTGTTATTTGAGGGTGCGATGCTGACAACCGGCACTGTCCGATAGGTGTTACAGTCATGCTTGTCTGGCATGTTATACCGTCTGATGGGTGTTACAGTCATGTTTGTCTAGGACGTGCTATCTGAGAGTGTGATTCTAAACAACATGCACTATTTGATGAGTGTTACAGTCATGCTTGTCTAGGGCATGTTATACCGTTTGATGGGTGTTACGGTCATGCGTGTCTAGGGCATGTTATACCGTTTGATGGGTGTTATGATCATGCTTGTCTAAGGCGCGTTATATCGTCTAATGGGTGTTATAGTCATGTTTGTCTAGAGCGTGTTATCTAAAGACGCAACTCTAACAACAGGCACAGTATGATAGGTGTTACAGTCATGCTTGTCTAGGGCATGTTACACCATCTAACAGATGTTACGGTCACGTTTGTCTAAGGGTAGGGCGTGTTATTTGAAAGTGCGGTTTTGACAATAGGCACAGTCACATCCCGACCCATAAAGCATGCTCATGATAGAATATTTGCATCTTAATGGCATACACTTTACAAAGCTTTTCATATGAGATTTGATAAGAAAGGGCGTTAATACATTGTAATGAAAGACAAAGAAGTAATATTAGAATGGTGTAAGCCATTGAATTTCCATCTCTGTATCCCACAAAATTAGCAAGAATATCAGGTTCGGCTGTTGAACTAAGAAACTTCTCTCTTACCCTATCTAAAATATCGGATCCCCTTCAACAAATCACCTTCTGCCAGATCCTTTCATATCTCAGTTATGGGTTCTCCACAAAACTTCCACCAATTTGGCATTCTCTCCCTTCCTTCTTTCCTTGATTCTGAAGTAGCAGAGGCATATAAGCACTGGTGCAGGGGAAGGAGCCTTCTTTTAGAATAGGAAATGAATTTAGATGACATAGTTTTGAGGAATGTGATGTCTGTGGAAGAAGCAGAGCTGGTACATAATAATAATAATAATAATAATAATAACCCTTCCTCTTCACCTCCTGCCTCAGCAGCGGCCACGGCTTCGTTGTTTCTCGGGAAAAGGGCTGGCGATGTCGAGCCACAGCCCGATCTAATGACCGAGGTTTCAGCCTCGACAGAAGGGATGGAATGGATGCATTACCAACGAGCATTACTCATTGATTCCAAGTTGCCAGCTTCTCAAGCTGTTTACAATAATCATGGGAGTGTACCAGATATTGGTGTTTACAATTTGCAGGCTATGTCGATCACGACATCTGCCTCGTCGAACTCCGATTTCCATGAGGGTAATTCTGGACGGAAACGAAGACAATTGGATGATATAAAGGAGAAAACTATTGAAAGAAGGCAGAGGAGAATGATCAAGAACCGTGAGTCTGCTGCAAGGTCCAGAGCCAGGAAACAGGTAAATTCATGCATCTATCTTTCAAGTTTCCATCAAACACAGGACAAATAGCAACATTTTTCGTGATATTAATCATACGTTCTAATCCTCTAGGCTTATACGAATCAGTTGGAGCATGAGGTGTTATGCTTGAGGAAAACGAATAGTTGGCTGAGAAAGCAAGAGGCAAGTTCATCTAAACAGAGTCATATTTTCAACAAAAAACACAGCTGAGTGAATCTATTTGATTAAGAAACTGTAGAATCCTTTTATTTTTTCAGGAAGTAGAAAGAATGTTCTTGTCAAATCCAATTCCAATGCCCAGATATCAACTGCGGCGCACAAGCTCAGCCTTCTTCTAGCTTTTGCTCTTCACAAGCACACCTCTCTCTATTCTCTTCTCTTCTCTTCTCTTCTCTTCAAGTTTTTTCCTAGATAGAAGCTTTTACTTTCTTAGTTTTTTGTGCTTCATGTAGAGCAAATATTCTGATAGCAAACCTATCTGGTTATGATAACAATGCAGCTGATTTCCTACCCTTTTGCCTACTCATAATTCATGCCACTCAAATTATAGGTATCCCTCATGTTCATCAGTGATATCAGATCCAGATTATATCAGAAGGCAAGGATCTTATAGAGGAAAAGAACACACAAATCATGATCATTTTATTTCTTTTTCACTATACAAACGAAGGACACATACAGAATCTGACTCATTGAATAGGAACTCAACAATATAATACACTGGCAGTAATACTTGAATCATATAGTCGGAAGGGGCGACTACGAAAGAACAAGAGGTATCGATGAATTTAACTTACACGAACAAAATTGGAAGCTTTGTGGAAGCAATGTTCAGCTCCCAAACAGTGTCCAGCTTTTGTCTGATCACAGCAGAATAATGTCAAGAACCCAACTAGATTAAAGCACTCCAGACAGCCCCATTCCCTTCACCACATTTTTCGTGGACATGCTTGATCCTCTCAACAGATTTGCATATTCCACTGCAACTCCAGTCAAATGATGCAACGCATACATTGCCTGCTTGTGCTTTCCACTCACAATCTGCAAATGTTTTGTCTTAGAAGAAAAACCAAGCTTTGTCATAAAGGAAAAAGAATTTGCATAAATGGGGTTTGGGGAAACGTTTGTTCTTTACTTTGCGCTCATCCATATATAAGTAAAACATTACCAGGTGGCGTCCCGCAGCACATGTTACGGTCGTCTATATGCTCGACTTCAAGGCCTATTAACCAAGCACCAAGGGACACATCTTCATTGGCATACTTATGCAAAATTGGCCTGCATCACAAGTTTCAACTCTTTGAATTAAACTCACATCATCAAGAAGTTGGTACAAGTTAATTATATGAACAAAGTTGAATATATTAAGAAACCTATCTCATGTTGATGCAAGAATGATTTTAATCAAAGATGTGACTAAGATGATGTGTTTACTTTACATAACTCTAAATGCAAGCAGAAACGCTATATCCTTACTCATTGACCGCCATGTAGGTGGCTAGATCTTTCGAGATTGCGTAAATCTGCCCAGTTGCATGTCTGAAATACTTATTTCCCTCCTCTCCAAATTTCCAGTATTCAGGTTCATGGTATTTGACACTCCTGTGGTATAAAGAAAATGCAAAATTATCATCACATATCCTTTTTAAGAATGCACAAAACAAACAAAAGAATGATATCAATGTGCAAAAAAGGGAAGAAATGACAGAGACAATCAATCTGCAATGAACATGATAGACAGACAGTCCATGATAATTACTTGGAAGAAAGAACAGGTCCAGATTTCATGCACCCGATATAGACTCGGGGCTTCGAACGGTGGTAAGCAAGAGTAGTAGCTAGCATCCCTAGATGAGAAAGAATTAAGAAACTCAATCTTGATAGATGGATATTTAGTTTTCACAGAAGTTGAAGGAATAACAGCTTAAAAACGTGAAACATACCTAAATTTACATGGACATCATCATCTATCTTAACATAGAAGTCAGCATCCCATCGAGCAACGGCAGTGGAAAAGAAGGATTTTGTTTTTGCAGACAATTCGTGATACCCTTCGATATGTTCCTGAACATAATGATCCAGTTTACAAGCTGAATGTCTAATCATTCCTTGTTATCATAATTACTCCATGTAAATTCTCTTACCAGCCTAAGGAAATCTTTGTGCAGGGCATCTTCTGAATCAATTGCACGATCCAAAATGCTGTTGGAAGTCGCGCTAATCAAGCGAAAATCAATGAGGTTAGTTCCATTGAAAACAAGGAAGCAATACCAAACCAGTTGAATAATGCATCAAGATTAAACTGCACAAATATAAAAGGACCAGTTCAAGGGAGAAAAGGCTAGAACGACTTCCACATAACAAGGCTACTTTCTGAACAAGGAGATATAAACAGTATGTTCATCACAATCAGAAAGGCCAGTCTAAAGTTTGTTCTCATCTATACTAATGTACTCAGAAAAAGAAGGTGAAAAGAGAAAGCTGGTAGATTGACAGTTCTTGCTGCCTTTGTAAAAGAGAACCACCAACAAAGAACTTGTATGGCCCATCTATTAAAACAGAGTTTTGAGTGACAAAAAACAATCCAGAAAATGTCCGTATCAGATTGTAAAACAGAGAACCGTACCATCTTGTTGTAACAGCCCAAGCCCACCACTAGTAGATATTGTCCTCTTTGGGCTTTCCCTTCCGGGCTTCCCCTCAAGGTTTTAAAACTGTCTCCTAAGAAAGGTTTCCACACCCTTATAAGGAATGTTGCGTTCCCCTCTCCAACCAATGTGGGATCTCACAATCTATCTCTGGGCCCAGCGTCCTTGATGGTACACCATTCGATGTCTGACTCTAATACCTACCATTTGTAACAGTCCGAGCCCACCGCTAGGAGATATGTCCTCTTTGGGCTATCTCGAAAGGGAAAACCCAAAGAGAACAATATTTGCTAGCGGTGGGCTTGGGCTGTTACACTTAGCTTGCAGTTTTGCCACTTGAGTTCTACGTTGGACCATCTTATAAAGTAAACAGACCACCACACAACACTCCTTAGCGTGGAGAAGAAAAGTTTCTGCTTGTTCTATAAGTTTACACCCCCATCTCATATAATGTGAAAATGACCATGAATCAATTTTTAGTTTCTACTGCCTTCCTCTACACCCTTCATTAAAAGAAGAGGAATTTTAAAGCATTCTTCAAAATTTCCACACGTTTGGTTAAATAGTCAAAGAGTAAAGCTTTCTGAAAACACCCAACACATTAAGATGGCCTTAAAAACATTTAATCTCTGCTTCTCCCAGCATCTAATTTCAAACAAGTAGCTAGAGCCAAATACACCACAAGAAACGCAATTATACCTATGGCCAATCATAAACCGAACCACAATCCCCTTCTCTCGCTCCAACTGGAACAGCTTTTCCCCTGACCAAACACCAAGCTATGTTTTAGCAGAAACATAACGTTCAATGATCAAAATGAGACATAAGAACAGTAGGTAGGACCAAGATACCTCGAGGCATCCATGTCTCTCTGACCGAATCTCGACGCCTTCGGCTACTAAAAGCTGTGTTTATCCCAATCACCATTAACATTTTCTTCTTCGGCTGGCTGCCTTTACCAGAGGATTCAATAGCTGGTGTGTAGCTATCAGAGGAATGCATCTCCGGGGAATTCTTAGCCTCCACCAAATCCATGTTAAGCATTGTAATTTTCTTGTCCAAAGATCTGTACACCTCCACAAATTTGTTTCACTGTTAAGCCAAAGCGGAAGAATGAGGAAACGAAAAATTGGAAATAAAGAAGAATTGCACTAAACTGGATTGCTTCGTGAGTTCTATAGACAGCAGTGATCACATCCTTTTTTTCCGCTGGCTTCAAAATTTCCAAGAAAAAATAAATCAGACTAAACAGGCAACAGAATGAGTCGTAATATGTCAAACACTCACCATCTTAATCGAGCTATCTTCAGAGACGATTTGAAGTTCCTGTTCATGTCGACGACGGGAGATGACCTGACCATCAGATTCCGGCACCAACCATAACCTACTGCAAAACCCAGAAATCCAAACCCCCCGATCAACAAAAAACCCTATAAAAACAGAGAATCACAATAAATCAAAATGAGAAAATAGAAACCTGTTCGTGGCGATCATACCGAAAAGGAAGAATGAGAGACAAAAGAAAGGAATCCATATCACAGAAATCTTTCTAGTGCCACGATTCTTCATCTTCCGGCTAGCTGTGGACGAGCAGAGGAATTAGCAGAAGGATTTATAAGGTTAAGGAAGAAAGTGGAATCAAATTGGGATTCGTCATGGTGGCGTTTGTAGAGGTCAGAGTGTCAACGGTTAGGCTGCGAAAGGAAGAATTGAGCGCCATTTTGCTGCTCTACGCTAATCACGCCATAATTACAAACCTTCCTGTTCATCCTTGTTCTAATTCTAATAAACTCCCGTCTCTGTGTTTATGTTGTGACTAATCTTGATTTTTTTTTTTAATTTTATATTCATAAAATAATGCTGACGTGGAATATACAACCACTTTGCCCAATAATTTATTTCAATTGGCTGATTTAAAAAATAACCTTGAAATGGTATTTGATTTATTATAATAACCTGAAATTAAAATAATTTTGAGTGTTGGATTTAGATAGCAAGAGGATATTTTCTATAAGGAGTTTGTTTTTAATATTGTATTTTCAAATTATAGCAAAAATAAATATTGGTTGTTCGAGTGAGTATCTAACTAAATAGATATATTAATTTAAATGAGAAACTCACGTTTAGTAGATATTCGAGAAAGAGTAGGTGAGAGATTTGTCCGTGTGAACTAAATGGATTCGAGGATCCATCTGTCCTATAAAGTATGTGATATGAACCAAGACATCGATCATGCATTATAAACTTTAAGAAATATGTGAAGAAAATGTTATTTAAATTGTCACAAGATGTTGCAATTTATGCTGCATTAAAAGAAAAATCAAGCTTCATTTGTTTTTAGATGGTTACAAATATTTGGTGTATAATAATTTAGAGTTAACGTGTTTTTTTAACGTATTTTAAGGTTTGTTTACATAATGGCTAATTATAGAAGTATACATAGCTGCTAATTATGGTCATAAAATATGAAAGTGCTTATTTACAACAGTTAATTATGACTATAAAGTATACGCAGCTACTAATCATGGTCATAGAAAGTTACAACTTTTGGAATAGTCTGGGTAAGGTTAAAGGTTTTGATTTTGAGGGTATGTTATATTTGTAAACAGATTTGGAAAATGTTAAAGAAAAAGCCCAAAGAAGACCATACTCGCTAATAGTGACCTTGGACCGTTACAAATGGTATCAAAGTCAGACACTGGGCGATGTGCTAGCCAGGAGGCCGAACCCCGAAAAGGGGGTGGAAATGAGGTGGTGTGCCAGCAAATATGTTGGGTCTTCAAGGGGGTGGATTGAGAGATCCTGCATCGATTGGAGAAGGGAACGAGTATTAGCTAGGATGCTAGGCCCAACAGGGGGTGGACTGTGACATCCCACGTCAGAAACTTATCTCTTACATCCACATTTTAAAAAACCTGAGCGAAAATTTAAAAGGGAAAGCTCAGGACAATACCTATGATGAGTTACTAGTATGTTTAGAATCAAGTTTAATAAGATGATCTTGCTTGTGAAAAGAAGTCGAATCTCAAACAAATATTATTATTTAAATATTTAATTAATAAGATAATCTGAATCTTACCCTCATACACTCTCGGTACTAAACAACATCGAAAAAAATTACATATCATATCAAGTAACTGTACAAGAATCAACCAAAGGCAATGTGAAAATCTGGAAGATCGGAGTTCCTTACCCACTGAGATCAAACCTTCCAACTCTGGCTCCTCGTAACCAAATCCCTGCTCTCTCTGTTCTCTTCCTCCATTAGCCATTTCAAGCTCTTCTTCACCTTCACCTCTGTTTCTTCTCCCTCCTCTGAACATCCTTCCTCCACCCAACTCTTCGCCGGAGCAGACCTGCAGCGCATCAGCAAAAGCGCGTTTCTGGGCGGCGCCATCGGCGGCCCAATCGATGCATCATCAACTGTACAGAGACCGTTGCCGTCTCTCCGGACCCCACTTCCCTGTAAAACCATGAACCATTTAGAAAACGCCGTTCTAGAGCCATCGCTCCCCTCGACACCCACTTCCTCTTCTTCCTCGTCTTCAGAGGTGAACTCTGCTTCAGGGAAAGCTCCGAAACACCCAAAATCAAACCGTAAGCTCCGTAAACATGTTAAGAATTGCATTATATCCTTCTTGAACCCTAAAGATTCGACCCAATTGAACCTCCTCCGCCGTAATTCCCTCCTATTATGAATTCTCTCTATCTCCTCCATCACCGATTCCCAGCTCTTCCTGCTCTTCGGCCTCATCTTAATCTGCCCTGCACAGGTCACTTTCGGCGACGACGGTTCCGACACCTCAGACCCCCCCATCGTCTTCGCTTTGGCCCAAACCACCGGACTCTCCGCCGACTTTCTCCGCCGGTGATAACGGCGGAGCTTGTTCGAATCAGACGCTCTGGCAGGACTACAGAGTGGGTTTGGCATTAAAGCGAAATGCGAGCGAGAAGGGAAACAAACCAATAAATCGGGTGAAGGGTTCGCTTTAGTGTCTCTAATTGATTTCATGGTGTCCTAGAAAGAGGAAGATTCTGGCATTGGAAGCTTTGGGATGTGGGGTTTTTAAGGACAATTTTTACAGAGGAAACAGAGGAAGAAGAAGAAGAAAGGTGAGTCAGGGTCTGGTGTTTTGGACCCCTACCGCTTTTTGTTGGATTTGTGCGAGGGTCTACTTTATTATCTGTAAAAATTTAAGAACACTCCTTTTTGCCTCCCTGAGATATAGAAAAAGGGTAAAGATTGAACAACAGGCGGGGCTGTGGTTCTTGTAAAGAGGCACGAGGCTTGTTGTATTGCCCAATCATTCACCCAACTTGGCCAGCCCACGCCATAAAATATGGCCTTCCTCTCGCACAGTCGCACTCACAGTCACAGTCACAGTCACGCGTTGGCCCGAGTCCAAACCTGACCCGACCCAATAGATATTGTCTACGGTTACTTTTGAGTACTCTAAGTTCACACCTAACCGATATTATATTATTCTGACCTGGTTCTCGCTTGTGACAGCCTAAACCCACCACCAATAGATATTGTTTACTTTAATTTGTTACGTAATGTCTCTAGCATCCTGTTTGAAACCCTGCTCTGATACATTTGTAATAACTCAAGCACACTGTTGAGATATTTATTCGCTTTGACTCGTTACGTATCAAGGGAGTCCAGTGTCCATGCTAGCACACTGTTCGAAACCTAGCTCTAATACCATTTGTAATAACTCAAGCACACTGCGCTTTGACCCGTTACGTATCACCGTTAGTCTCACAGTTTTAAAACGCGTCTACACGAGAAAAGTTTTCACGCCCTTATAAAAATGTTTCATTTCCCTTCCAAACCAATGTAATAACTTAAATTCACCGCTAACAGGATATTGTTTGTTTTGACTCATTATCTATTCAGTCTCACGGTTTTAAAACGCATATGTTAAAATGAGATTTCTACACCTTATAAATAATGTTTTGTTCATCTCTTCGGTTCATATGGTATCTCACAGAAGCCAACCATCCCACAAATATTATTATTATTATTTTCTTTAATTATTTTGAATGCTTAATGTTTTTATAACGAAAAAGTACAGCGGTTGGTAACATGTCATTATTGGTGTCTCTTTAGTAGGGAAACATCATCATTTTCAAATAACTCCATTTTGACTAAGCCTTTAATATTTTCTAATTATATTTTTTCCTTACTAAATAATATTAACTTCACGTCATTATATTCAGGCTAATAGATTATCATTAACTTATTTTATTATTTATTAATAAATATATACTTAAATTGAAATTTCATTAATAAAAATACCCATAAATTTTTAAATTTTTTAAATGTTTCAATAATATCCTTAAACTTTTAAAAAATTCTCAAAAATACTTTTAAATTTTCAAAAGCTTTGTTAATACCTTCTGATAGACGAACACGACTCTCCATAATGGTATGATATAGTTCCCTTTGAGTATGAGCTCTCATATCTTTGCTTTGGGCTTTCCAAAAGGTTTCATCCAATGAAGAGAGTATTTTATTCCCTAAATTAGCAGAAGTGTACTTTCCTCATCCAACACTTAAACTTCTTAAAAAACTACTAGAACACCAACTTTTTAAACAAAATTAAAAATAAAAAAAATATTATTATCCCGTTTCAAAAATATTCATGAATTTTGAAGAGTAACATTAAAAAGTTTGGAGATAACCTATGAGATATCGATCTATTGTATTTGTCCATATATTAACAGTAAATTTTTTTAAAATATTTTATATAACTGTAAATAGCGTTTATACTATTTTTAAAATTTCATACATATTTAATATAACCGTATTAACTTTAAGAATATTTTTAATTTTTTTAAAAAGTTGAAAAGTATTAATAAAACTCTTTTAAAAGCGTAAGGTATTCTCAAAATTTGAGAGTTTTTTTTAAATAAAATATTAATTATTTCATTAAAAAAAAATAATGGTAACTCATGATAAATATATTTTTTTAAAGATTTTTTTTTAAATTTAAAATATATTGTTTAAGCTTTAATTTAATGATATTTTTATTAATTTAGCCGACTATGAATTTAAATAAATGCAATTATGGGCGTTGAAAAGCAAAGCAATTGGGAGTTATTTGTGGTCACAAATTGGGGCCTCCTCGTGACTCGTGACCATTCACCTTGCACTTTAATTTACACGACTTTGCCTGCCTTTCAATTTAAAATTTATATCGACCAACTTCTATTATATGCTATTAAAGTCGTTGTTGCCTTCTATTCACTTTTATCTTACAACATTGTTTTTTTTAATTATTTTTAACGTATTTTCTCGCTCACGTTTTCTAAAACATTTCTCTAAAAAATGACTCGAAATTTGAGTTTATGCAGACAGACATTGTCTGCACAGTCTGAATTTCTCACAGCTGACTTGTACACTAGGTTAGAACAAGTGTCGTACAATGACTATCGTAAAAGTGCAATTGTGATAATTATAGTTCAACAAATAAAATATTAATAACTATTTAAAATGTGGATATTTCGATATAAAATAAAGTATTTATAGGATATTTACCGAAAAAAGTCGTTATTAATTATGAAACCTAATATTAAAAATGATTGCCTAATATCATTGTTCTTCTATTAATAAAAAGAAAAATAATCACATTCTCTTTAAACCGGACCCTAATTTATTTATTATTACTATAATCATTTGGAGCTAATTATAGTATATGGTGGTAATAATTAACGTTACTACTAAATAATATAAAAGTAATCCATCTCATTTTATATTCTAAATCAATTTCATTTGGGTGATAAATTGTATTATTTAATAGACTTAATTATATAAAAATATACATTAATAAATTATAATAATTTTAAATATGTTTATTTAATTTGTGGGACGTGTACCATAACATAATTTCGATAAAAATCTCTATTCATAAAAATAAATAAAAAGAATCGTTCTTTGGATATCTCTAAACATGCGAGATCATAGGTACGTTGCAGAAGGAAACGAACCATTTCTTAGAAGGGCCTACAAACTTATCCCTAGTATAAGCCTTTTAAAACTGTGAGGCCGATGATAAGCCAAAATAGACAATATTTTCTAGCGATGGGCTTGGGTCAAAATAGACAGTATTTTATAGTTGTAGGCTTGAACTATTACAAATGCTATTAGAGTCAAACATCGAGCTGCGTGCCAGTGAGAACGCGGGCTCTTAAGGGGAACAAACTTTTTTTTTTTTTTCTTTCTAAATTGATAGTTTGATTACGACAATATGTAACGAGCTAGAGCGGATAAGGCGAATTTGGAGTTGAGGAGGGGGAGCTATGTTGGTATGTGGCATTTTGGGGAAGCCGAAAGCAAAACCATGAGAGCTTATGCTCAAAGTGGACAATACCATACCATTGTGGAGATCCGTGATTTTTAACATGGCATCAGAGCCATGCCCTAAACTTAACCATGTCAATAGAATCCTCAAATATCGAACAAAAAATTGTGAGACTCGAAGGTGCAGTCAAAAGTGATTAAGGTGTCGAACAAAGTACAACAAATGATGTATTTTGTTCGAGAGCTCCAGAGAAAGGAGTCGAGCCTCGATTAAGGGGAGACTATTCAAGAGCTCCATAAGCCGCAGGGGAGGCTTTTAGTGTAGTTTGTTCGAAAGGAAGATTGTTGAGGATTATTGGGAGCGAGTCCCACGTTGGTTAATTTAGTGAAAGATCAAGTGAGGAATACTATCTCCATTGGCAGGAGGCATTTTGGGGAGCTAAAAGCAAAGCTTTATACGTGGAGAGCAACACCTTCCTAACTCCTAAATGTAAATGATTGTAAATGATTGTCGTTTACATCATTCAGTCCTGTATTGCATTTCTCCCTTGTTATCGATTCTGTATCTTCTTCGTGCAGATTGAGAGGCATTTACAGAGACACGGAGGCAGATTCGAGCAGAATGAGGCGTATTCCCGTTCCTGCTACGGCGCAGTAAGTGTATACTTTTTTTATTTTTTATTTTTTTTCCGGAGTTTTGTATTGGAACAATGTTTGATTGCATTTTCAAGTTCTTCGGGAGAAATCCGGGGACATCGGTAGCTTACTCGTTCTTGATCGGACTAGCCTGCCAATTCGGAATTTGATAACATAGCCAAATAAGACTAACCTCGCGATACCTGTAATTCTTATCAAGATGTGTGTGAAGCTTATCCTAGGAAAGGTTGGGCTCTGTCTCATCCAAATCGATGATCGTGCTTCCAGAGACATAATCCATTGGCATCGTTTCAGTGGAATACTTTTAATGTAAGCAACTAGTTTGAAATGAGAAATTTGCTACATGATTATTAGCAGATTAACTTTTGGAGGTGATTTTCCAGGTGTTGTAAACCGTAAGTACGGGTAGGCTTCTTTTTGTTTGTTTGAAGTTTGGTAAATCATCCTTACTCGGTGGAATGGTCCAATATTTTATCTTATATTTTGAATGTATTTTTTTGCCTAAATCCAAGACTCACCAGTGTGGATGAGGGAGAGAAGAAAGAACTTAAGTTACTCATTTGCCATTTTTTCTTAACTTTTCCATTAAGGATATGCTGTCCTTTGGATGGATCTATGTGTGGGAAATACTTTCAATGCATCGTATGCATATTTCCTGGCCCCTTGATTCTCTATCTCTCTAAAGTTATACTTCGATGCTATGCTGTTCTATGTAACTCAACACTGAGGGGCATAGAAGGAGTAAGCTTCCCAGCTCTTTTCATGGAGTTGTTTTCTTCTATAACCTGTCTCCCATGAAGTTGGGATCTTCTACTTTTATTCTAAAGTTTCCTGATTTCAATTTTTATGCAATGCTTTGATTCATGCTCCTAAATGGCTTTTGCGGCCTTGTGATATGTCTCAGAATTTTTCGGGTGTCTTAACTTCCAATCATATTGCATTTTTCAGGTGACACTCACAGAGGAGCAGATCTCTTTCTTTCACTTCTTAACAAATGTATGCGCCATAGTTGGAGGTAATTTACAAGAGTTATTTGAACCTTAATCAGTTGATAAATTTTACCTAAACTTGTAGCAGTAATTTGAACCCCCAAAAAACATGCACATAAAGAACTATGATCATTTTTCTTCCTGGCCAGTGCCTTCGCTCTTTGTTCATTGTTCATATAATCTGTTAAAGAGATACATGTTAGAAATCACGATCTCAACAATGAAACAATATTGTCCACTTTGAACATAAAATCTAGTAGCTTTTGATTTTCCCAGAAATAGATGCTTCTCATAATTATTAGCCATTTATTTAGCCACCTTCTTCTCATAGGACTCTTTTGAGATACTCTCCTACCAATTCTCAACAATACTCTCCTACCTATCCTCAACAATAATTTGTCTAACAAAAATTTGTCCAAAGAGGGGAGTATACAGGTTAATTATAGGATATCTTTGGTCCATATTACGAAGTTGAACTAATCATTTGTTTTACTGCAAATATTAGACAACAGTAACAGACCAATCAAAAAATGGTTACAGTTACTACAACTATAGAAAGAAAAAAGAACACCAAAATTAAACCATATCATGGTCTACCAAGAAAAAAACCAGCTGACCACGAACATTTTTACATGATATTGACACAATGCCCATTTAAAAGAATTTGAGCCTCGAGTCTCTGCCTGCAACCTCAAAAAAAATCCGCTGCAGGTGCTGTTGAAGATTTCGATCGAATTATTGAGGTAAGATTGATGCCCAATCTATCTCAGAAGGATATTTCTCTAGCATTGAGGTCTCCCAAGCTAGATTCTGATCCCATGGCATCTCTGTGAAGTCAGGAAATGAAAGATCTGATAAAGGTGAAGACGCTGCAGACCCGTCGCTCTCTGTCACAGCCCGCGACGAGGAGTTCTCCACCTTCACAGCTGCTGTGTCTGCAAGGGAGCAGGATTGGGACCTTGACTTCTTAGCTGCAGTAACAGGCTTCTTTGAGTTGCCTTGTTTCTGTGGCTTGGCCAAGTTATCACAAATTGCTTGGAGCTTTGCATCAACTGAGGAATGTAGAGGGTTATACTCGCCGAATTCGCCTTCAACGCAGGAGCCTTGGTGCTTGAGGTGGGGGAAATTAAGTCTGGCAGAGTCACCTCGAAGCTTGAAGGCTGCCTTATCATATGCCAAGGCAGCTTCTTCAGCAGTGTCAAAGGTACCGAGCCAGAGCCGAGTTCTGTTCCTTGGGAGTCGGATCTCGGCCACCCATTTTCCCCAATGCCGTTGCCTGACCCCTCTGTAAAGCTTAGTGGGTTTTGAAGACGAACCCACTTGCTTCATTGGGGTCGGCTTGGGGCTGAGGAAGTTGGGCGTTATTTGTTCATAGCAGGGTAGCGGTTGATGGTTTTGTTGCTCCAAAGCAAAAGGTAGTGGGGTTTGGTTTTGAAGAAGATTGACTTGAGGTTGGGATTGAAGGTTTTGAGGTAATGATAACTGATAGGGTCCAATTGTGAATGGCTGTTCAAAACCAACGAGGTTTTGGGTCGAGAACCCATTTGAAAATTCTGGGTTCATCGAAGTGGAGCAGCCATTTGAGTACAAAGTGGACTGTTGAGGGGCAGAGTGAGAGAAGCTGAGGTGGTTGTTGGTACAAGGAGGGAGATATGGTGCTGGTGATAAAGAAGAAGAAGAAGAAGAAGAAGAAGAAGAAGAAGAAGAAGAAGATGGAAGATTTGTAGAGAGAGAGGAAGCAACTTTCATAAAAGGTAAAATTGCTTCCATTAGTTCACCACCAAAGTGGTCTGTTTGAGGTCCTTCATTGTAGAAATCCATGGCAGTTACCATTACTTCAATGGTCCGCCAAAAATGAAATGACCCCAAAAGGAAAAGGGAAAAAGGAAAAAAAAAAGAAGTATCTCTTTACAGATGAACCTGATTCTTGTTAAAATAGAAAGAACAGGCCACCACTGAAGATATCTATCAAAGAGGTCTGCAAATAGACAACCCCTTCAACTCTAAAAGGAAATCAAAAACAGAAGAAGAAGAAGAAGAAGAAGAAGAAGAAAAGGAAACCAACCTTGAGGGACTAAATTCACCCTCCATGCTGATTGACCATAAGAAGAAAAACAAACGAAGTAGCCTAAAGAAACATGGAAGAAAAACACACACACACAAATCCTGGATCTCTGAGAACACCTGCCTTTGCACAATCCTAAGTTTGGTTATTGTTCATTCCCGAAAAGACAAACCCAAAACCCAGAACCTGAAAGAACATACAATGAACAGAAAGGGATTCAGATAAGCGGGGAGTTTCAGAGGGGGGAAGAAGAAGAAGAAGAAGAGGAAGAAGAAGGAAGTTCAAACTTGAAACACAGTTTCTTTTGGTCTCTAGCCATTCTGAACTCTCACTGTCTCTCCGCCTACAATGCCTATTCCCCACGAGCAGCCTCCAATTTATAAGCCTCTAAAGCCTGAAATTCACTTACCTTAATCACGGCGTCGTTTAATGATCTCAGTTATCCGCCGTAACTTAGCTTCATAGTTACGCTCATCATCTCTGATTCTCCTAAAAGTTTCGCTGACCAAAAAACTCTCGTGTTCACACTTACTGACAAATATCTTAACTCTTTCATTTGCTTTGTAGATAACGATTCATCCCCCTTCTCACTATTCTTGATTCTTCAGATCCTGTCCGTTGGATATCATCGGCATGAAGCTGGTGGATGGCTGTGATTCAATTACTCAACCTGGGAGCCCACACGGTTTTCCAAGCTTGTGTCAGTTTATTGGATTGCATCCTGAATTTATTAGCAAGTGGGGCCAACGGGTAAGTGGAAATTTTGAATTCTCTATTTTTATTGTGTAATTATGAGGCTTAATTCTTTCACTAATGTTCCTAATGAATCGGTCCACAATCCACCCACTAATTATGATTATAGTAAAAGTTGAGTATTATTATGATTATTTTGTGCTAAACATAGAATTTACTTCCGGAAATAACAACATGATTATATGGGTGGATGAAATACTCTCGTGGGTTGATTCATGAGAACATTTGACGAATTTTTATAATAAAGTTGATTGTTGATATGATGCTTAAATGGTGAGAACGTGCATTTATTATGCATTGAATAGGATAATTGGAATAATAAAAAAGGTTGGTCAATGGAGCTGTTTAAACGTGTCTACGAGTCACGATGCTGGAATTTTCCCAGGGAGCTACAGCATAGTTGGCTATCATAGAGAGGATTTAAAACATGGTACTTCAAAGCTCTGTTGAGCCACTATTTGAGGGCCACAATATATCAAATATTCTTTCGATTCTCAATTTGGTCTTGATTATATATATATATATATATAGAAGTCTAAAACAATACTATGCGAGCTTATACTTAAAGTAGACAATATCGTATTATTGTGGGCTTCATGATTCCTAACAATATATATGTACACTTCTTGCTCTTTTATGTTTGTGTTTAAACAATTATATTGTTAAATGAACACGACTCTATATTCTTGCTCTTTTATGTTTGTGTTTAGACAATTATATTGTTAAATGAACATGACTCTATACTCTACACAGTGGTATGATATTGTCCACTTTGAGCATAAACTTTCATGGCTTGTTTTGGGCTTCCCCAAAAGACTTTATACCAATAGGGATAGCATTCATCGATTATAAACCCATGATCATTCCCTAAATTAGCGATGAGGACTTTCATCCAACCTATATAATTCAAATTAATTTATAAATTATACTTTTTTCTAGTTGAGTAATTATGCTAGCATAAAATTGAATGGTCAACTGAATAGTTAATGAGAATATTTGAATGGGGTGATTTGTAAAAAATATCTTGGAAATCAATTAATTTTGATTGTGGTTTTGGTAAAATGATTCTCTCAAATCTACTCCAAGGTTTAAAGAGAGAATTTGTGGGGCCACGAATTCAAGAGATAAGTGATGATGATGTTTTGGAATCCAACGGCTGAGATTAATGCAAATATGGGGGGCCATGCAGTCGCCGGCGTTGAATTCAAAGGGAGGCGACCAACGGGCGACACGACAGGGAAAGACTTTTGGTATTTGGAAGGAAAGCTTAACCATGGTTAATTCTTTGAGAACTATAGTTAAAGTCAGGTTACGGAGGGAAGAATAAAAGTGGGGGTAGAAATGGAACAGGGCACGTGCATGGGGGAGGAAGCTCTTGGGCTCCGGCGCCTGATCCTGCAGACTGAGCCGTGGGTTTTACTCTTGTGAACTGGCCCACGCGCATTCCACCTCAGTGTGTGGGACAAGCGATGGCGCGATGATGTGAAGACCACGCGCTCAGTGCAGCGTCTGAAGAGAAAGAATGAGAGAGGGTGGGAATCCGGAGTGGATATTGGAGCATGTTGAACGGGACGAAGGTAATATGGAGACTTTGAAGATGTCGGTCACGTGCCTGCCAGTGTGCCTATGACAATCGATGAAGGCGTTGTTTCTTAAATCATGTTATACGACTAAATAAAAATTAATATTTTTTTGTCAGTTAAAATCCTTTATTTCAAGACAAAAAAAAAAAAAAAAAAAATCATAGTTCCTTATACAACAAATCTCGTTAGTTATTTTACATTAACAACTATATAAACAAATTAATTCATTAATACTATCCTTTTGATCAAAGTTTTGACCAAAAAAACGAGAAGATACAAATTAATTCATTAATACTATCATTTTGATCAAAGTTTTGACCAAAAAAAACGAGAAGATTAGGGGATATGGATAGAAGAGTAAAGAATAATTGTGATGAAATAACTAAGCATCCCAGTTTCAAACAATTTATTTTCATGTTTCTTGCTTAAAACACAATCTGTCCACTTAAATGATAAATATAGACAAATATGAGACCAAAGATTACAAAGACCCGAGCATCAAGGCATAATTCCAAGGATCTCTTTTAGTAGTAACTAAAAGCAAATAAAAACAAAGAAAGAAAAAAGATACAACCAAAGATTCGAGTTTACAATTCAATCCAGTTCAAGAGCAAAAGAAATCGTCATCATTTAGCTGAATGAATGAGAGAGAAACGAAAGAATCATTTAGCTGAATGAATGAGAGAGAAACGAAAGAAACACCTATAGATTGGCTTATAGATCCAATTCGCATTTTTTGTGATATTAATTAGTTTGTGCTATTTTTATGATTTGCTTTGAATTATTGGACTTGCGATTTCAAGCTTCTGTAACGCGTGAATCTAAAAGATCTCTTATTTGTTCTATGCAGGCTGAATTTTCCGGACTTCCGTATACAAGCACTATGTCTATGCTCTATTACCCTTTTTCAGACCCATATACAAACTGTTGTTTCAGACCCATATACAAACTGTTGAAGGGTGGGTTATTTAGACTTGGTTCCAGGCCAGGCATTAAATCATGGAGTCCAAATACCTATTATCACGTCTCCTGTTGAACTCTAATAAGCTCCCGTAGGTTCGATCAGACACGCCAACAAATAGAGATTCAGCATCTGGGCTGAAGCATATGCCCGCTATTTCTCCAAACATATCAATCTCTTGCCCTTCAATGTAACCAGATTGGGTATCAAAGATGTGGACGAAGTCTGCTGGCTCAGCCATGGCCATAAATCTACCATCCGAGCTGAATTTTACAGCTCTTATAGCCCCCATCCTCCCTTTAAGAACAGCTATGGACTCCGACATTTTCCTCACATCCCACAGCCTACATGTTGTGTCTTGGTTTCCCGTGGCCAAAATATGCCCATTTGGGTGCCAAGCGGAGGTGAAAGAGTAGTCTAGGTGCCCTTGAAGGCACCCAATAGCCTGTTCAAACCTACCATTTAGTATTCTACTATTTCTATTGCCCCTTTCCATTCTCTTCCTAAAATGACTGAAAAGGCAAGGCAAGAAATACTCACTCGGCCAGAATTCGCATCAGTGATCAAGCAACCTGGACTGTCCCCAAGAACAGCAAGCAACTTGCCATCAGGGCTGACGGATGTGTTCTGTAAGAGAACGGTGTAAGTGAACAGTATAGAGCCACGAATTATCAAAACAGTAACAAAGAAAAACCGACTGATGGCACTCACATTTACAGACCAGTCGAACGGGAAGCAGCCAAGGGAAGAGAAAGTCACGGCATCGTAAATCCTGACTTTGGCATCATTATTCGCCGTCATGATCCTTGTTCCACCACTGCAATAAAAGAATGATCATTAACTGTGGTATTATTTTTTTGTATGCTAGTAGGAACTCAATGGGCTAATTTTGCCCATTGACAGTGATGCTTACGTTGAATCTCGATAAATATCCACAGCATTAGTGATGGCATTGTCGTTTGCTGTAATTTTTGTGCAGAATGCAACCTCAGGATGATTTAGGTACTGAACGAAGCATAAGAAAGACAAAAATTAAATGTTCAGACCCACAAGGAAACTGAATATGAAGTTATCAAGTGTGTGGTCATATGTTTTTAACTCTCGACTTGCACACCTTGCAAATAAGTTCCCCTTGAAAACCACCGGCCACAATCAGATTCTCTTTAACCGCCATAGTGCTTATCTGTACTCTGGAAAGTGGCTGAGACATCAGTCCAGGGAGTTTCTGCACAAGCCATCAAAACTATAATCAATCAATATGCGCATTCAAATATCTGGGAAGGATGTCTTCACAACGAAGCACCACATACCAAAGTGGGAACTACTGGTTTAGCTACATTTAGTACTTCTTTGCTCCTTCGAAGCAATGAAGACCAGTGCAACACTGAATAGTTCTGCATTAAGTATACGTCATGCTTTGAAGTTGCCCATAACAGATTTCTCAGCTGCACAGATTCAAAAACAGAAGTTGTGGCGACATCAGTGACTGCCGTAGGATGTTTAGGAGATAAAATCTTCAAATTTAAGATAACAAAACGAGTAAGAAATAATGAATAAATAAGATTCTCTGGTGTCTGCTTCAACAAACTCCAGAAAGCGAAATACTTGACTAACTTGTCAGCTGGGACACTCTAGAAACCTAATGCCATCGCTCTGTTGTGACTAACTGACTTCACTAATAAACTTTAGAATACTAAAATGTCGTCAATTCTGTGATTAATTGACAGCACTGAATTTCACATATGAACCAGGACAACACAACTTTGAGCAAGTAAACAAACAATTCACCAAATCACCCTGCAGAATGCTGATTCCACACAGCAGGTGAAAATAAAAAACCAATTGCTTGTATAGAAACAACAAGACATTATAATTATCAAGGACACCAAAAAACTATATAAAAGAATGAACTAAAAGAAAAGTTCCAACAAAACATTGGAAAGAAAAAAGTGCACAAAATAAGGTAAAATTAGAGACCACAACGATGCTTTTAGGCCTTGCAAAGTAAATACGGACTCGGCCACCACCAGACAACCTTGAAACAGAAACAGAAACAGAAACAGAAACGTGGCATACAAAGGCATAGGTTAACTACGATAAGTGAGGCCCACCCGCTTGGCAGAGGCTGCCTCCTCCCTTCCACCCCACCCCAGGACTCTGAGCCTTATTTCAGAGTACAACACATGCAGTTTTACAGTTACATGAGATAATCTTCGAAGGATTCAAGATTTAAGACCAATGATAAATACAATCTCGCTGAGAGAAATACAAAGACAAGACATAATTAAATGTTTGACTAGCAACTGGTGAAAGTGAACACCAGTCTCCAGAACTGAGAAATTGGAATTCTGTCTAAAAATACAATCATGTATTAAATTATCAAAAGCAATAAATCGAAATTAAAGAATAGTAAGACTCCCAACGGAAATGAATGCGTGCTTTGGCCAACTCAACGAAAATTATAGTTGACACATGTGGATGCCAACACTTTTAACCAAAAAATAAAGTAGAACAACATAGGCCAAACAAAATAAACTTAATAAGAAGAGTATCAAACAAATTATCCAAGTTGAAGCATCAAAGCAGATCTTGCATTTGAAATACATCATTAAGTGCGTAAGGGGATAAATAAAATATTTCGATGACAGACCCCTAAAGTAGGGCATCGATAACATTTAACTAAAGCAATTTTCATACAGCCTCTTATGCCTTAAATGCTCAGATGGTTTCCTATCATACCATTTAAAGGTTGCGCCAGCTGCTCAGTTATAACTCCCACCTGCGTTACATGCTGAAATAAAGTGAAATAGCAGTCCTAGATGACAGAGAGAGGTTAATTCCATATATCATAGTTAGCAGCCATTAAAGTAACACATCAAAACCTCCTCACAAGAAGTTCGAAACAAAAAGTAAGGATACACATCAAAAGAAACGTTGCATCTACAGGGAAAAACAGAAAAATTATAAAAACAAAAAAGGCAAGGACGGTGTAACTCTAGAAGTTGACTGTACAGTTATCATAATTGCTCCACAGAACTAGTTCACCCACTTGGGAGAAGCAATAACAAAACAGTGTTAAGTGCCGAAAGAAATAGTGCATACCATAAGCATAAAGCAAATCTGTAACTCAATGATTTGAACACCAACAACCAATAAAAGACTAGTTCTATTGCGCTTGAATCCATGGTAGAGGAAGACTCTTTAAGCTGCAATATGACTAATATTGGCTGTGGGAGGAACTGATTCTTTGAGAGTGTTGGATGATGGAAGTCCCACATCGACTAATTTAGGGTGTGATCATGGGTTTATAAGTGAGGAATACTAACTCCATTGGAGTGAGGCCTTTTGGGGAAGCCCAAAGCAAAGCCATGAGAGCTTATGCTCAAAGTGGACAATATCATACCATTGTGGAGAGTCGTGTTCGTCTAACAAGCCATGAGAGCTTATGCTCAAAGTGGACAATATCATACCATTGTGGAGAGTCGTGTTCGTCTAACATGGTATCAGAGCCATGCCCTAAACTTACTCGTGCCAATAGATGGGTAAATCCTCGAATCCTCAAATATCGAACAAAGAACTCTTAAAGAAAAAGGAGCCAAGCCCCTCCTCAAAGGCAGTCAAAAATGACTAAGACTCCAAAGGAGTCGAGCCTCGATTAAGGGGAGGCGCACTTTGTTCGAGGGGAGGTGTTGGATGATGGAAGTCCCACATCGACTAATTTAGGGTGTGATCATGGGTTTATAAGTGAGGAATACTAACTCCATTGGAGTGAGGCCTTTTGGGGAAGCCCAAAGCAAAGCCATGAGAGCTTATGCTCAAAGTGGACAATATCATACCATTGTGGAGAGTCGTGTTCGTCTAACAGAGAGAACATAGAATCATAAATTAAAGAGAAACGTCTTCCTGACCAAGTATACTAAGATTAATTGGGTGGAAGTTGCATTAAATGAGTTTGAACACTAGATCTCCTACTCCTACTTTGATATTATCTAAATCACCCTTGAACCCAAAATCTTAAGCAGGTGAGTTTAGGGTAAATTTGATTTTATCAGTATCTTAACACCGACAACTCATCAAAGCCACTACGTCAGGAGACCTTTTTTTTTTTTTCCAAATTGAGCACGCTCGGTGGATAAAGCACCACCCAGCAATGGTTGGAGTAAAAATATTAAAATAAATAAGGATAAACTTCAAAAAAAAAAAAAAAAAAAAAAAAAAAAAAAAAAAAAAAAAAAAAAAAAAAAAAAAAAAAAAAAAAAAAAAAAAAAAAAAAAAAAAAAAAAAAAAAAAAAAAAAAAAAAAAAAAAAAAAAAAGGACGATGCAGAGACATCGTAGTCCACCTCAATCAGATATAAAAACAGCTCCAAACTAAACAACCTTAAATACGAACATCTAAACCGAAAATAATTATCCAGTATGATAAGAACAATAAACAAATGCGATGAATAAGAATCTCAACCTGGAAATGCACAATTGTTGACTTCACAAGCCTCGTATTGAACTGAAAGTTATAGAAAGCATGTCCCATCTCTACTTGCAAGCATTCCTGTTCAACGAGAAAGGGCAAGAAAACCAACTGATTACATATATATATATATATAAAGCGTAAGATAGTTTATCTAGGTGCATGATATTTAAATGTTTATTCTTCAATCATAAAAGTGTTTGTTTCAATTTCTGAAACGTGATAAAGGAGAGTAGCCCGGGGGGATTACGACAAAGTGTATGAATAGTAAATCGATATTTTATATTATTTAAAAATCAAGTAAGTGAATTGGGAATTACATGCGATAGCTAATTTACTTGAATCAAACGCAACTTGCCAAACGAAATCGACGTCTCCCATTCTCAATTTGTTGATTGAGAAAAGCGATTCTCTCATAGTTATAAAAGAGAGAGAATTCCGCAATGGCTCAAAAAAAGTAAGATAACGACAGAGCCACGGACCTTTTCGAGGTCTTCGCGAGGGCGTGAGAGGTTCTCGTAGTTTTTGTACTGTTTCAAACGTGTCTCGCGGCACTTTTCCCTTGTAAAATGAAGCCTCTCCCAAGGTATGCCTTGTATATCTTTCCCATTTCTAGCTTCCAACGCAGATGTATCAGTTCTTGACTTGCTCTGTCGAAGCCGAACGTCATTTTCTGTAATTGTTTATTCGATCCCCTAACCAAAGCAAACATGAAGGGAAAAAGCTGGAAAGGCACGGATAATTTACCATCTCAAAATCCTCTTCAAAATCATCGTCCAGAGATTCCGCGTCGCCGTTCCTCTGCGTTTCGTCGTCACCAAAAAAGGAGTCCTCATCGAAATTATCCACGTCGTAATAGTCATCAACAAGGTAATCGAGGAAATCGTTTCCCAAATTTTCCATGGATCTGCAAAATGAGATTCGTACTATCAAGTTTTATATCAAGGAACAAACAAAATCTCGTACCATGCCTGAACCGAGGCCGAGAAACAAACAGCTAAAAATGAGATTCAAAAAACGATAACAGAAGATTATATCCAAATCATTCCAAATTCATCACTACACTCCAATAAAAGTCATCTCAGGCACATCATAAGTGAAAAATTACCAACCTAGCAGAAACGAAGAGCAGAGTCGACAAAAACAATACATATAAACTAAATATAAAACACAGCAGAGAAAAATTATGCTTACAAGTGTTGAGAAACCGATATAGAATTCCAGGAAATGAAAATCGCAGGACGAAAGATCAAATGGAGAACGATGAGAAGAATACCACACAAAAGCTTCTGAATAAACCGATTGAAAATGCGTTCTGGAAACAGATCAAAGAGGAGATGGAACAAAGAGATTCGAAGAACAGCAAGAATTTCCGGCTCGGAAGAATTGAATTGGAGAAAAAAGAGGAAGATAAAGGAAGAAGATGGTTACAGAGAAAACGTGTAGAGAACTTCGGATACAAAGAGCGAGGGAAAACCGAGAGTGAAGGCAGTATATATAGAGAGAATAAGAGGATAGAATCACAGGTCAATGGGTCGGGTCGGGAACAAAGTGGGACCCAACCAACCGCCCATCTTACCGGCACAGCCTTTTCAGGGCCCACAGTTCGCACGCTCGGTGCTACACGTGTGAAGGCAAAGCGAAGGCAGCTTCTTCAACGGAAATAACTAATAACATTAACCGCTAAGAAGAAGGATGAGAAAGGACAAGTGTCAGTTCCTTGTCTTCAGCAGTTGAATAAGTGCCCACGTGTTTGACTCATCAGCAGTTGTTGAACACGCACGTCAGCTTCTCATGGGTCCACGTGGCCAAGTTTGATTTAGCTATGTAACACTAACCATCCTCCTTGTCCAAATGCTTCCTTCTACTACGTTCCACCAGGGGGACGAAGAGACTAGTATTATCGATGTGGACAAAAACGATGACGTCACAAATCAATAAAAAAATTATTTAGTATGTGTAGTTAATTGGAGGATTGAATTAATTAATAAAAATAAGTTGAAAATAATGCGTGGAGGAGTTGAATGGGAATTTAAATTAAGAAATTAGATTTTTATTTTTTTTATTTGTCATACTTAAAATAAAATTATTTGTCGGTAGAAGAAAATTATATGGTTTATTGTTTGGGCCCATTTGGGCTGGAAAGTGGAAGACGAATGAAAAGCCCATTAGTTATGGGCCCAATGGGCCGTTGATGTAAACTAGTTATGGGCCAAATGGGCCGTTGATGAAAAGCCCATTAAAGTATTCCTTAATGTTAATAAAATATTTTATTAAGGATTTTTTTTTTCTAAATTGTATAATTTTTATATATTTCAATAATATTCTACGCACAAAAATTAATTAAAATGTTTAGCCATAACTTTTTTAACAACGTACACCTTAATTTAATATTATAAAATATAACTTCAAATTTCAATTTAAATAAAATATATAATATAAAAAATAGAATAATAACGGATAATATAATATTCGTTCACGTTCCCATTTAATTATTGGAGAGAAAAACATGGTTCACAACATAAATGAATATCCTTAAAAATAAATAAATAAAAATTATGATAAAAATATATTAATGAGATAATATGTTCGAAGATATAATTGAGATGTACGGCTGATATTATTTGAGTTGGACCATTTTTTAGCGTAAAAAAAAAAGTATTTAAAAATTTAAAAAATGTTTATATTTTCAGAATTTAATTATAATAAATGTGAAACATAAAATTTAAAATTAGGAAGCTAAAAATGAAATGGTCTAAGTTAAAGGTAGAATATTATGATTGATGCACGGAAATAATGTATAAATTTAAAACGAAAGGCAAAATAGGAACAACGAGTGGGGACCACGGGAGTTAGGTTTGGTTGGAGGAACTAATATATGCTTAAATTTAAAAAATTAAAAGATTATTATATATAAAACAATAGAACACACAAAATTACCAAATTGTCCTCTGGAATGATGGTTGTTGCAGGTTGGAATTGGAATTAATTGAATATCGACTAGTTAGAAGTTGGGCCTTGGGAGCTATACATATATAACTGCTAGCTCAATTAATTAAATAAGAGGTTTGACTATTAAATAAATAAATAAGAGGTTGGATGTTGGTAAGGTTATTAAATTTTCATTTATATATAAATAATATTTACAAATGTGGTTTTTTTAATAATTATGGAATAATATTACTATTATTGAAACCTTTTTTAGCAAAATATAAACGCTTAAAACCAAAAAAAGAAGAGAGAAACTGAACCATGGTTAGTCCAACCAGCTACCATCGTACAACCGTCATAGTAAAAGGGGCGGAGTAGCCCAGTCATCAGCTTGTTCGATCTAGGTTCGTCCAATGAAGAGATTCCTTAAGACGTGTACAAGACTAACTTGAAAGGCCAGAGTTCTAATAGTGTGAGGCTGTCTCTAACATTTTCTCTAACATTTTTATCGAATATATATATATATATATATAAGTTGTCTCTAACATTTTTATTATATATATATATATATATATATATATATATATCAATCTAATTAAAGTCGAGTTTATTAAAGTATGGTAAGTGTTATAGTTCCAATAATATTTTTTTGTTTGTGAGCTCAAAATATTTAGAGCGAAGATTTAAACATTTGATTTGTCAAACGAAGGTAATATTTCGGTTATATTTTATCAAGTTGAACTGGGTTTATTTATTTTTATATTATAAATATGTTTTATAATTTATGAAACACAACGTTCAAATTGCAACATTTTTAAAAAGCTCCGTTAATATGAATTTCGTAACATTTT